ACTCACAGGGCCTGGCATGATAGTAGGGCTTCAAAAAATATTTCTTGAATTGAAATGAAAAGTACTTTAGTTAGGAAACCAGAAAAATGAAAAGGAACACTCTAATTTCAGATCTAGAGAAACTTTTCAATGGCAGGATTAGGGGGAAAAAAACCTCTAATGGAAATGTAAATTAGTATTACCTTTCTGGAGGGCAACTGGTCCCATATATGTAACAAATCTTTTTTTTTTTTTTTTTAGACAGAGTCTCGCTCTGTCACCCAGGCTGGAGTGCAGTGGCACAATCTCGGTTCACTGCAACCTCTGCCACTTGCGTTCAAGCGATTCTCCTGCCTCAGCCTCCCGAGTAGCTGGGACTACAGCCACCTGCCATTGCACCTGGCTAATTTTTGTATTTTTAATAGAGACAGGTTTCACCGTGTTAGTCAGGATGGTCTTGATCTCCTGACCTCGTGATCCACCCACCTCGGCCTCCCAGAGTGCTGTGATTACAGGCATGAGCCACCGCGCCTGGCCTGTAACAAATCTTTAAGTATACATATCCTTTGACTCAGTGCTCCCACTTCTAAGGAGAGATTCACACACTTTATCACATTATTTCTTATACTAGTGAAGGAAATCTAAATATCCATCAATAAAAAACAGGAAATCTAAATATCCATCAAAAAAATCTAAATATCCATCAATAAAAAAATCTAAATATCCATCAATAAAAAACAGTGTCAAACAAATTTCGGCACAGCTATTTGCTGGAATGTTATACAACTATTAAACTATGAAAAGACATTACAAATGTACTGTTGAGTGAAAAAACAGGTTCTAGAACAGCATGTAGAGTTTATACACATTGTATCTATTGTATACAAAAATGTATATATGAAATAAGCTTAGAGAAACATCTAAAAGGATATTCACAAAAATGTTAGCAGGGTTATCTCTGTAATTTTGGATAAAACTGCTTTATTTCTGTGAACTTCTCTATACTGTTTAGATGTTTTAGAACAAACAGGCACCAATTTTATAAAAACAATAGGTTATTTCCAAAGACAGCCTTGGGGTCGGGTGCAGTGGCTCACACCTGTAATCCCAACACTTTGGGAGGTCTAGGGGGAGGACAGTTTGAAACCTAGGAGTTTGAGACCAGTCTGGGCAATGTAGCAAGAAGTCATCACTACAAAACATAAAAAATTCTAAAAAACAAAGATGGCCTTAGAAATGAAGGTAGGTATAAAAGGGGATGGAGAGGAGAGAGGAAGTGAAGGAGGAACAGACATACTGAAGCATGTGAAGTGGCCAGAAATAGGGGGATTAGTGCCTACCTGGGGGGTGGATGAGAAGACTCTGGATCAGGTTTTTCTGCCCCCTGTGTCTCAGAATGCTGCTGAGAAAATGAAGGGGGAGGCTGCTGCTTCTGCTCATCTGAAGACCTTAGCCCCACAGCTGAAGCATGGAAGGCACGTGGCACCAGGGCTGGTCGGCAACGGGTCACTGAAACAGAAAATGGGCTGGTCAGTCAGGGACATTCAACAGAGAAGACCCTTTCAGACCCAGAGTGGTAACACAGACAAGGAGGAGGAAAAGCAGGCCAGAGACTCCTCCAGAACCACTTATCCAAGTGTTGGGTCCCACACAAAAATATTGGGCAAACTGGGAACTTTGGGACATGAAGTGGTAGGAAAAGTGGTAAGCCAGGAGAAAAGATCTACCTAGCATCTCGACCTGTTTCTACCACTTGTTACTTGTGTGATAACTGGCAAACAATTTTACCCCAATGTGCAGATTTTTAAATCTGCAAATTTAGAGTAATAATTTCTACTTGCTCAATGGGACCACTGTGTGGCCCAAACAAAATGTAAAAGTGGCTTGTAAATGTTACATATTTATATATATTATGGCAAGAGCTCTGGAGTAGTAATTTAATGTCTCAGTCCTACTCCCCCAGTGTCTATGTGGTATCTTTGGACAAGTCACTAATCTCTGCTTTCTCATCTGCAATATCTGCAACATCCCCACTTATTTTAAGAAAGATGAGAAGTATGTTTCCTAAGCATAAATTCATACTACTTTTTTATTTCCCAACATTTTTTATTCTAAAAATTGTTTGTTTTTTTTTTTAGTCAGAGTCTCACTCTGTCTCCCAAGCTGGAGTGCAGTGGCACTATCTTGGCTCACTGCAACCTCTGCCTCCCAGGCTCAAGTGATTCTCGTGCCTCAGCCTCCTGAGTAGCTGGGATTACAGGCACCCGCCACTACTCTCGGGCTCATTTTTGTATTTTTAGTAGAGACAGGGTTTCGCCACGTTAGTCAGGCTGGTCTCAAACTCCTGACCTCAAGTGATCGCCTGTCTTGGCCTCCCAGAGCGCTAGGATTACTGGAGTGAACCATCGTCCCCGGCCTATTATAAAAATTTTCAAACACGCAAATTGAAAGAATTATGGAATGAACACCTGCCTATCTGCCACTAGGTTCTACACATCTGTCATTTCTTCATCCATCTTGATTTTTGGTGCATTTGTTGCAGATATCAGTATTATTCATCTCTAAACATTTTAGCATGGAAGAGTTCTATGTTCACTGTTTTTTTGAGATGCCATTTACACACAATGAAATGCATAAATCTTAAGTGTACCATTCTATGAGTTTTGACAGATGTATACACTTGCACAGCCTGAACCCAATCTAAACAGAGAACATTACTGTCACCCCAGAAAGTTCTCTTATGCTTTTTCAGTCATTCCCCATTCACACTGTTCTGAATTTTTCCCTCTAGGTTAGTTTTTGCTTGTCTTAGTTTTGCCTGTCCTAAGATTTCATCTACATGTACATATTTCAATAAAGCTTCTTTCACTTAGGACTATATATGTGTGTGTGTATATATATATATTTATTTATTTTAAGTTTAAATAGGGACAGAGTCTCGCTATGTTGCCCAAGATGGTCTTGAACTCCTTGGCTCAAGCAACCCTCCCACCTTGGCCTCCCAAAGTGTTGGGATTACAGGTGTGACCCACCACACCTGGCCCACTTAGTACATTTTTGAGATTGATCCATATTTTTATGCATATCAGTAGATCTGGCAAAGATTGTCTCCTTCATCAGGCTCTAACCAGGCTCCTCTGAGCCCTCTTCTTATCTAGGCCTCAACCTTGGCCTATAAAGACTTGAACACACACTAACATAACCATCACTCAGGGCCACATCCCTTACGATAACCCTACCCACCTTTAAAGTGCCTGCCTGAGAAAACTCAGGCTGTCAAGAAAAAATTTACTGTTTGTTCTGGATAACACTTAAGAAGGATAGGGCTTACGTCTCCCTTTGGGAAAACAGAATCCTAACTTTGTTAACTGCCAGCTAGCAGCCCAATCTCATTTATAATTATTCACTTTCTTGACTCTACTGAGTCCCCACCTGCCTTCCTACCTCCTCCCTCATTTTTTTTTTTTGAAACACCCAGTTACTTATGCATGCACTAAACTCAAGGTTGCGCTCAGTTCATGCTAGACCCTTTTCCCTACTGCAACAGTTATTACTGATTAAAAACGGTCCTTATCACTTTAGTGTCCAGCTTTCTCTTTGACTGATTTTTAGTATTTATCGCAGAATAGTGTTCCATAAAAAATATTATTCTGTTGCTAGACAACTGGACTGTTTCTGTGTTTGGCTACTATGAATACAGTTGCTGTGAACATACTTGTACTAACTTTTTTGTAGATACATACCTTCACTTCTCTTGGTAGATCTGCGGGGTCATAGGCATTACTTTAACTACACATCTTTAGTTTGGAATTTTATACAACAAAAGGGGGCTAGGCGGTGGCTCATGCCTGTAATCCCAACACTTTGGGAAGCTGAGGCAGGCAGATAACTTGAGGTCAGGAGTTTGGGACCCGCCTGGCCAACATGGTGAAATCCCGTCTACTAAAAACAAAAAATTAGCGGGGCATGGTGGCTCAAGCCTGTAACCCCAGCTACTCGAGAGGCTGAGGCAGGAGAACCACTTGAACTAGGGAGGCAGAAGTTGCAGTGAGCCGAGACTGTGCCACTGCACTCCAGCCTGGGTGACAGAGTGAGACTCCCTGTTAACAACAAAATTAACCAAGTAGGGTGGCACGCACCTGTAGTCCCAGCTCCTTGGGAGGATGAGGAGCCAGACCCTGTCTCAAAAAAAAAAAAAAGAAAAAAGAAAAAAAAGAAACAGAATAGTATGTGTAAAAATATCAATATTTTAATACACGTACTGAAAGATATGGCACAAATATCCATAAAACTTTGAAAAGAAAGGAGCGGATGCAAAGTGTGACTGTAGTACCACTGAGGGTCATGAGAAGATTTTAGGTGAAATACAGGTGAACGTTTCATCAGTTATGTATGTATGCTAAAGTGTTAATGCATACATTCTAATTAAGGAAGGCGATATTAGTTTTCCATTTACGACAGTGATATGAAGTTTCCTCTTTCAGAACTCCTATTTAAAAATAAAAATACTGAGTACATAGTGGCAAAGGTGGTAAGAGAGTATCACAGAGTTCATGAAGTGGTGGGGATACGACTAGCTTTCGGGAAACAATGGACTAGGCTCTCTGTGGCCGTGTCCACCTGTCCTTCTAGTGGACTTGGCAATGGAGTTGAGAATGGGTCTGCGACTGCCAGTTCTGTAACCAACAGGCTCAGGCTGCGTGACCTTCGTACCCCCAGCCCTCTCTGAGGCTCCGCTAACTCCATGAAATGGGGGTGACAGGCCCTGCCCCCCTGCACCTGCCCCGCAGCGGGGCAGGGCTGAAGCTAACCAGGCAGCTCGCCTGAGCCCGCGCCGATGCCCTTCACCTCACCTTGCTCGCGGACCGCCCCAATGGCCTCTTCCCCCCACCGCCGAACCCAGCTCAAGCCGGCCTCGCGCCCCCTCCGCGCTCCCCGCTTCTCCCCGGCTTGGAAGCCCCCTCACCGGGCAGGCACCGCAACTGCAGGAGCTTCCAGCCCACCCGGCCAAGCGCACCAGACACGGCCGCCGTCGCCATTTTGGAAGCGGGCACGTCGCCCACGGCGACGCGACGGGCAGCATCGGGACCACTGCACTAGGAGAGCGGAAGTAGTCCCGCCGTGGAGCCTCCTCCTCTCGCGAGAGGCGCGAGGCGTGGTGTCGACGGCTGAGGAGAAGCCGGGAGGGAGCCCAGGCGGCAGGTGAGAGTGGTGGGGGCCGGCTGAGCGCCAGAGCTCCTTCAACTGTCCCCTCCCGGCCCACCCTCGTCCCTATATCCTCTCATTTCCTCTTCCTTACCCCTGTCCCTCGATGCGAACGCAGCCACGGACGCTGAGAGTCCCGGCGGGTTTATTCCTGAGAAGTTGGTGTGCGGGGCCAGGGCCGGCCCTAACCGCCCCGGGGTCCTGACCGGGAATTTCTGCCGTTCCCAGGCTGCCTCGTCCCTTGCGCAGCCGGCCCTACTCTGAGGCTCCGGGGACACCTCGCTGAGGAGAAAGGGCTCCAAGCTCTGGGGTCCGGGAGACCTGGTTCTGAGACCCGGTCCTACCAGTAGCCAATCGTTGTGACCTTGGGCCTCAGTCCCCGTGAAGTTTCGGTCCCTAGGGATGCTTGGCAGCAAAGCACGATAGCTTGGCAGGGTACCTGAGCTCACGGTTATAATTTCGAACCTGCGACTTGTCCGAATCCCCAGCGTGTTGAGTTGGTATAGTTAAATATCCAGATCGGAAGGATGCTTGTTACTAGGACAGCCAGCCAGGCCTTTGTCCTGGAGGATTGATTGAGTGGTTCTGGGTGTCGTCCAGGAATCTCATTTTAACCACTCCCTCGGGTGATTTGTAGGATCTGCAAGTTCGGGAAAGGCTGGTGTGCTTCATTCTGACATTACTGAGTGCCGAGCTCTGGATGGCTCAAGGAGGTCACGGTCCAGTCACTAACAGAGCCCTTCACGGGGGTGTCATCAGAGAAGGCTTAATAGGAAGAAGTAAATGGTTTTTGGACTAAGAGTAACAAGGACAAGAGCATGTGATTCTGTCGATTTTGTGTTTGCACTCAGACCCCATCTTTGTATCTGTGAAAGTTGTGCTTTGCACACCCCTTTTCAACTGTAGTCTTTTCAGAATATCCGCTTCCCCTGCACGGGTGTGGGGAAGACCTCCTAAGCCAAAACTTACCCCAAAGGTTAAAATTGTAGATCTATATTTCTGTTTTAGGTAAAACACTCCTCTCCATGAGGATTTGTTTCTGAGTTCTGTCCACCCAGCTTTAAATGAGCCTTTCCTGTGGAAACTAACATTTGGGTATCCTTTCTGAAACTCTAATTCCTGACACATGCCAAATGCCTGGAGACATTCTTGTTTCATTGTTGATCTCACTTTTTTATAAAAAATTCTGGGCCAGGCTCATGCCTGTAATCCCAGCCCTTTGAGAGACTGAAGTGGGTGGATCACTTGAGCCCAGGAGTTCGAGACCAGCGTGGGCAACATGGCGAAACTGCATCTGTACTAAAAATACAAAAATTAACTGGGCGTGGTCGTGGGTGCCTGTAATCCCAGCTACTTGGGAGACTGAGGCAGGAGAATCGCTTGAACCCCAGAGTCGGAGGTTGTAGTCAGCGAAGATCATGCCACTGCACTCCAGCCTGGGCAACAGAGCAAGACTCTGCCAAAAAAAAAAAAAAAAATCTCTAAGGTCCTAGTCTAAGTGTCTAGACAGAGAATTCTCTTGAGGGCAGGGAACAAGTGTCTTCTTGTCTGTCTCCTGTGTAGGGACAGGCACGTAGTAGGTTTCTTAGGTCTCATTTGCAGATTGTAATTGTGCCTTCCTACCATTCTGCTAAAGCTGGCAGGGAAACTGAGGCCCAGAGAGGGGCAATGGCTGACTTAGATTGCACAGCAGGCTGGTTAGGCCCACTTGGCACTAGTCACCCAGAGGCCAGGCAGTGACACGTAGGTACACAAGAGCTTCAGTTAATTTTATTTTTTTAATTTTTTTTTTCCTTTTGAGATAGAATCTCACTCTGTTGCCCAGGCTGGAGTGCAGTGGCAAGATCTTGGCCCACTACAACTTCCACCTCCTGAGTTCAAGCAATTCTCCCTACCTCAGCCTCCCAAGTAGCTGGGATTACAGGTGCAGGCCACCATATTCACCTAATCTTTGTATTTTTAGTAGAGAGAGGGTTTCTCCATGTTGGCCAGGCTGGTCTTGAACTCCTGACCTCAGGTGATCCACCTGCCTAGGCCTCCCGAAGTGTGGGATTACAGGCGTGAGTCACCACACCCAGCCCAATTAGTTAATTTTAATTAGGATTTTCCTTTCTGATAACTGTCAGTATTCTTGGAATTCTTTTATGCACCCAAGTTAAAGGATTTTTTGATCTGAAGCCCAAACTTCAGTCTTACTATTTTCTTTTGTCCCCTTTCACCAGAAGAGAGACCAAATGCCTCAAGATTTGATGCTTACTGGGCACCTGAAAAACCGGGTGTTCTCAGACATCTGCTTTTACTGCCTGCCAGTAACATTTTAGAAGGGCCATGGACATGTGTATGCCTCAGTCAGGGTTGGAGAGGCACCTAATGAGCTCAGTGACGTGACAATGATGCCACTCTTATTATGAAGCTGGGTCCTGAATCACAGCTTCTGAGCATGTTGTCTTAGATACGGGACACTTTTTCGTTATGGGTTTTTTTGTTTTAAAAGACAAATTCACAACAGCAACATAAAACTCTGATGATGAAAAGTATCACACTTTGGTTTTAGATATTTGAAAGAACATTATCTCCTATTTTATTTGAAAAATGCTGACTGAAAGTCGTGGTTATGCCTGTTTTTTGAGGGTTGATGTTTAATTAATGTAGTTCATAAGCTCCTCTTACCATAAGATTAGTTTTGGGAGATACAGAACGCAAAGCATTTTACATTCTTCTAATTTACTGACACAGTCCCACTGGAGTACTGTCCAAAGATCATAAAGCACAGCTCTTACACTAATTCTAACAATGAAAAAGCAGCTTCCTATCACTCCCTGGGGTGTCCTCCTATCAGGCATGGCTGAGGAGAAACAGGATTTTATAGGACTGTTTGAAGCAAAGGCAGGTAAACTAGCCACAGAAAAGTGGAAGCCCAGAGTTCTAGAACATTACTTTACAGAGCTCTGTGTGCCAGAGCCTGCCGAGTGCCTTACATATTATTATCTTCTCATTTGCTTCTTACAGCAGCCTCGTAAAATATGAGGTTATTATCCCTACTTTACTGATGAAAAAACAAATTCAAAGAGTCTAGTAACTTATCTATGGTCATCTGCCCATAAGATCCAGTGGTAGATAGGACCCTAGGTCATCTGCACTCAAAACCTGTGCCCTATAAAACTGCCTCCATAACTGTTGCTGAAAAGGTCTAGACATTTGGCTTTTTGTTTTTCTCTAGTTGATAAGTAAGCTTTTGCCCCTTGTTTCCTTCATGAGGGTTTTTCTGTAAATACAGTACAAAGTTGCAGTAGTCTAGTAGGTGGGGTCTTTATCATCCTTTTCTGTTATCCCAGGGAAGAACCTATTCCAACATCATTCTGGAAATAGGTCATTTTTATTCTTATAACTTAATGTCCAGCAATCTATACTCCCATCTTGCCTGGCTGGTTCTTAAATGTGAGATTGATCCCATATTGCACACCTTAAAGTTTGCAGGGGTTCTTCCTCGACATCATGTGCCAGTTAAAAGTTTCAGTCCTTGATTGTGTGCTGTTTAGGGATTTAAAAACCAGAATTGGCCGGGCACGGAGGCTCATGCCTTTAATCCCAGCACTTTGGGAGGCTGAGGCGGGCAGATCACTTGAGGTCAGGAGTTTGAGAATAGCCTGGCCAACAACCCTGTCACTACTAAAAATACAAAAATTAGCCAGGTGTGGTGGTGTCCACCTGTAATTCCAGCTACTTGAGAGGCTGAGGCATGAGAATTGCTTGAATTCTGAAGGCAGAGGTTGCACTGAGTCGAGATTGTGTCACTGCATTCCAGCCTGGATGATGGAGTGAGACTCTGTCTCAAAAAACAGAACTAACAAGCGAAAAAACCGCAGAATTAACTGAGCACATGGCTCATGCCTGTAATCCCATCACTGTGGGAGGCCGAGGCAGGTGGATCACCTGAGGCCGGGAGTTCAAGACCAGCCTGACCAACATGGAGAAACCCCCTCTACTAAAAAAATACAAAATTAGCCGAGTGTGGTGGTGCACGTCTGTAATCCTAGCTACTCAGGAGGCTGAAGTGTGAGAATCGCTTGAACCCGGGAGGCAGAGGTTGCGGAGAGCCACGATTGCACTCCAGCCTGGACAACAAGAGTGAAACTCCATCCTTCCCACCCCCCCACCAAAAAAAAAAACCAGAATTATTCTCTTTTGTATTATTTTTTTTCTTTTCTTTTTCCATTTTTACTTGCCCTCTGCCATTAAAAAAACAGAGTTAAATGACTAAAGAATCCTACTTGTCTGATAACACTTAGCATCCTTTTAGGGGCGCTAGCAGTTGGATCATACAGAAGGAGCTAGATAAAAGGCACGATTAAGGGAAAATGCAAAGGGTTTTCATAGAATAAGGTGGGATCACTTTGGAGTGGTGGGAGATACAGGTAGAGCCAGATTATGGAGGCCGTGGATCCAGAAGGCTAATTGACTTCACTCTAGCAAATAAAACGTTTAGTAACTCCTTTAGAAAAAGAGTGACAGATCAAAGTGCTATAGTATTTAATGCTTGAGTGTTAAATATTTGACATCCTGGGTATGTTTTGTAGGCAAAGAGGAGAGTTACTTGAAGTAAACTTTGGTTTTTTTGAGACAGGGTCTTGCTCTGTCACCCAGGCTGGAATCTTGGCTTACCGCAGCCTCAAGCTCCTGGGCTCAAGCAGTCCTGCCACCTCAGGCCCTCTCCTCCACCCCAGTAGCTGGGACTACATAAGATTACCACATAAGAGTACCACAGATTCTGCCACCACACCCAGCTAATTTTTGTATTTTTAGTAGAGATGGGGTTTCACCATGTCGCCCAGGTTGGTCTTGAACTCCTGGACTCAAGGGATCCACCTGCCTCTGTTTCCCAAAGTGCTGGGATAATAGGCATGAGCTATAATTTTTTATTTTTTTATTTTTATTTTTACTTTTTGAGACAGTCTCACTCTGTCAACAGGCTGGAGTGCAGCAGCACGATCTTGACTCACTACAACCTCCACCTCCCAGGTTCAAGTGATTCTCCTGCCTCAGCCTCCTGAGTAGCTGGGATTACAGGCGTGCACCACCATGCCCAGCTCATTTTTGTATTTTTAGTAGAGATGGGGTTTCACTATGTTGGCCAGGCTGGTCTCAAACTCCTGGGCTCAGGCAATTCGCCTGGCTTGGCTTCCCAAAGTGCTGAAATTACAGGTGTGAGCCACTGCGCCCAGCTGAAGTCAACATTTTAAAAGAAACGAGAGTGTAGTGACTTGGCTTAAATTCAGTCTGTATCTGTGGTGGCATGATTGCCACTGAGTTGGCCACCTCTGCAGAAGTCTGAAATGTTCAACATAAACTAATCCAAGTTTGACCCCTCTACCAGAGATTGTTTGTTTCATTTATTTGAGCTATGTTAAATTGGAAACTGGTGTCATTAATGTTTAAGAAAGAAAGGAACCGAATAGAGTACTATCTCTTGAACTACTTTCTTTGTGGGCATATTATATGCTCACCTGAGTATCAAGTAGAAGAGAAAGTTGATCTATGGAGGGAAATTTCCAAAGGTTAAAAGCATGGGCTTTACGGTCAGATGAATTTGGATTCAAATCCTAGCTCTCACTTTATCCATGTTAACACCCACTAGTTGTGTCACTTGGACAAAGTAAATTGCCTGAGTTTCCAGACTGTAAAATGGTAATAATATCTAGTTTAAGGCTGTTCTGAGATTCAGTTGAGATAATGTTTAGAAGATGCTTTGAACAGTCTGGCTAATATTAAATGGTATAGACATAGTAAGTATTCTTGATCACTGCAGAGTCAGTGAAATTAAATTTTCATATTTTGATGAAAGGGAAAATACCAGTATTCAGTTTGCAAATTTTAAATGTGTTGTTTCATTTTAAAAACATTAAACCTGTGGTTGGATTATTTCTGTCAATGTATTTGCCTTTCTTGCTGAGTCACACTTTGCCTAATTGATGTCCTATGTGTTTTGCATTCCGTTCATGCTGAATTATCTTAAAGAGGAAATCATCTCTCTGCCTCCAACCTTCTTACTTGCCTCTAATCCCTTTTGTTGACTCTTCCAAGTCAGGATTCTCACCAAGGAAGCTATCGGCCTTCTTTGGGAATGTTGGGATTATGAAGACTTGAGATAATGGGGTTCATGTATTCAGACTCTTTAGCATATACAGTAGGGTTTCTAATGTTGTCAGCATTCCCTAGTGGGCAGTTACAAGTTAGGTTGGGATTCTAATCATATTTTATGATACCTCATGGATTAAATTGCACTTTGTCTCTGCCCAGTCTTGATTCTCTTTTGGCCAGCAGTTTTTAGGTCCATCAGTACTGCACTGCAAGAATGGCAGATTTTGGGATCTCTGCTGGCCAGTTTGTGGCAGTGGTCTGGGATAAGTCATCCCCAGTGGAGGCTCTGAAAGGTCTGGTGGATAAGCTTCAAGTGTTAACTGGCAATGAAGGCCACGTGTCTGTGGAAAACATCAACCAGCTGTTGCAGTGTAAGTACCCACCCATGTTGTCTGTATGAAGCTGGAGGGGTTTCTGTGGGAGTGTTGCCTTTCTCTGGTTCCTTGATATCTGAGTTTTCGTTTAGGGTGGCATATGATAGTGGTGGCTCGTCACCCTGTTGTTTTTCAGTTGAGATACACTGAGCTTAGGAGTGTAGTTGATGATTTCCATAAGTATGATGTTCTTTCTGAGTAGCTATTCCATGTTTTTTTAAAACACTTACTATTCATCCAGCTTCTTGGATGGATACCGAGTGGTGTCCATTCTCTCAGGGTGAGGTCTGTAGCCTTTGTTGGGGGTTGAAAGGGACAGAAGATTGTCCCAGGCCAGATTGATTGCTAATTAGAGTCCTCTTCTTTTCAGCTGCCCACAAAGAATCCAGCTTTGACATTATTTTGTCGGGTTTAGTCCCGGGAAGCACCACTCTGCACAGTGCTGAGATTTTGGCGGAAATCGCCCGGATCCTTCGGCCTGGTGGATGTCTTTTTCTGAAAGAGCCGGTAGAGACAGCTGTAGGTAAGGAGATCTTCTCTTGAAAAACACATTTGACAGAGTTGAGTCTTTGAGCATGTGTGCTGCATCTCCCTGAGCAGGAGATATCATTGGGAGATCAGTATTCCTATAGCAAAACCTTTTCCTTGGGGATAAGTTATTGTTAAAATCTGAAGCAACATATCTGGAGAAATTGTAATCTTTGGCTGACTCATTATGTAACAAAATAGAAGGAAACTGCCATCTAAAAGTGGGTCCTTTTGCAGGTGAATAGTTAAACTTTGATATGTTCATAATATGGAAAGTGATGCAGCAATAAAAAGGAACACGCTAACTATATGTACATCAGCTTGGATGGATATCAAGGGAAGTAGCTGAGTGAAAAAAGCCAATCTCAAAAGGCTCTGTGCTGTACAATTCCATTCATATTCTTGAAATAACAAAATTATAGTGGTGGAGATCAGATTAGAGTTTGCCAGAGGTTAGAAGTGGGAAGAAAGGGGTGTGTGGAGCTATAAAGGGGAAGTATAATGGTTCTCCTTTATAGATACAACAATTCTGTGTTCTGAATGTGGTGGTGGTTACACATATCTACGCATGTAATAAAATTACTTGGAACTATAAAGCCCCCTCTGCCAAACGAGTACATATGAAAGTAATGAAATCTGAAAAAGCTATGTGGACCATCAGTATCAATTTCCTGGTCTTCATATCAGGCTATAATTGGGTAAGATGTTACTGTGGGGAGAGACGAAGTGAAGACCTCCTTAATATACAGAACTTTTTTGTTTTTTCCAACTTCCTGTGAATCTATAGTTATTTCAAAATAAAAAGTTTAAAAATAATGACTGGAACTCTGGGAGTGATGTGGTAATTATTGATTCATGTGAAACTAATGACAATGTTCATGAAGTAAAAAATTTTTTGATCAGTGTAGCTGTCAGTGATTCAATTCTGGATTTCAAAATTTTTCACTAGACTTCAGTCAAAATGTAACAATTTCATCAAATAGAATAATAGAAATGAAAGTATTTTGAAATGTATAAAGGTGTTCATTGTTTATGGGGAAATAGAACTTTGTGTTATGTGTAGTATACATCAGCATTCTTTGCTGGGAGTTTAAACCTTACATGACTAAATGCAGTGTCTCAGTCAGAACTATACAGAGAGAGAAGAAGAACTATACAGAAAGAATACTTGTATTTCTGTGCACTTTGCAGTTCATAAGCCTCTTTTCATAGTCATTATCTCACAACCTCTGGAAGGGGTTTCAAGAAGCAGAGAGTGATTAAAAAAAAACAATAATAATGGAATTATAACATTTAAGAGCTTAGGTAAAAACACTTTGAACAAAAAAAAAGTGTTTGTCAAGTTAAAATAGTATCACTATGACCAGGCACAATGGCTCATACCCGTAATCCCAGCAGTTTGAGAGGCCAGGGCAGGTGCATTGCTTGAGTCCAGGAGTTCGAGACTAGCCTGGGCAACATGGCGAAACCCCATCTCTACAAAAAATACAAAAATTAGCCAGGCATGGTGGTGCCCACCTATAGTCCCAGCTACTTGGTAGGGGCTGAGGCAGGAGGATTGCTTGAACCTGGGAGGTCGAGGCTGCAATGAGCCGAGATCATGCCACTGCACTTCATGACAAAGTGAGACCCTGTCTCAAAAATAATAATAATAAGAATAATAAAATAGTATCACTAAAATGTATATACAGTTGTCCTCATCTTACAATGGAGTTACGTCCTGATAAATGCTATTAAGACGAAAATGCATGTAATTCATCTAACCTACTAAACATAATTGCTTAGCTTAGCCTAGCCTACCTTAAACACGCTTAGGACACTTGCATTAGCCTACAGTTGGGCAGAATCATCTAACACAAAGCCTGTTTATAATAAAGTGCTGAGTATCTCATGTAGTTTAGTGAAAAATGAAGTATACAGTTTCTACTTGAATGGGTATCACTTTTACACCATCATAAAAGTTGAAAAATTATAAGTAGAACCATCATTAAGTCAGGGACCATCTGTACATTAAACAGAATAGGTTATTTTATTTTGTTTTGTTTTTTGTTTTTTCTTTGAGATCAAGTCTCACTCTGTTGTGCAGGCCAGAGTGCAGTGGTGCAGTCTCGGCTCACTGCAACCCCCACCTCCTGGGTTCAAGTGATTCTCATGCCTCAGCTTCCCAAGTAGGTGGGATTACAGGCATGTGCCACCACGCCTGCCTATTTTTTTTGTGTGTATTTTTAGTAGAGACGGGATTTTGCTGTGTTGGGCAGATTGGTCTTGAACTCCTGGCCTCAAGTGATCTGTCCACCTCAGTCTCCCAAAGTGCTGGTATTACAGACATGAGCCACCACGCCCGCCTGGTTATTATTGTTTGAATGCTTGCTAACCCACATAGGATTGAGCCTTTATTATTTTTCCTACTTTGACCTATAAAGCTATTAATTGAGATTTTCCTTTTGGCAGATAACAATAGCAAAGTGAAGACAGCATCTAAGCTGTGTTCAGCCCTGACTCTTTCTGGTCTTGTGGAAGTGAAAGAGGTATGTTTGTAGACAACTTTCTTTGATGCCCTGCAGGTGAGGTAATCAGTATTGCTTAGAACTAGGAAACAAGAAATGCTTTGCATGTAAGATACATGATGCTTCAAAGGACAAAATGTGAGAATAGGCCGGGTGCTGTGGCTCACATCTGTAATCTCAGCACTTTAGGAGGCCGAGGCAGGTGGATCACAAGGTCAGGAGATTGAGACCATTCTGGCTAACACGGTGAAACCCCATCTCTACTAAAAATACAAAAAAAATTAGCTGGGCCTGGTGGCAGGCGCCTGTAGTCCCAGCTACTTGGGAGGCTGAGGCAGGAGAATGGTGTGAACCTAAGAGGTGGAGCTTGCAGTAAGCCGAGATCACGCCACTGCACTCCAGCCTGGGCCACAGAGTGAGACTCTGTCTCAAAAAAAAAAAAAAAAACTTGTGAGAATAATCAACTTCGAAGAGACTCAACTTGGCCCATGTGGGCTGGGGCTTGTTCTTGTCTCCTTGGTACTAGTTTAGTGGTAGTGACAGCTGAGGGGCATGAGCAGCAGCTCTGTTGCTTCCAATACCCACCTCTCAGTAGACCCGAATTCTAGGCCTGGGTGAACACTGTCACCTAGTTCAGCCTCACATTTTTGGTGGGAGGCTGGAATAGGTTAGGGGGCAAAGTTCCTTTTCTGACAATTCAGTGGAAATATTTAAATTAAGCAGAAGTGTTTATATTTCTACACTCTGATGTTAAAATTTTCTTGGATGTGGGAGAGGTAAATGTTATAGCATGATAGCTCTTGTGCCTGTTATGTCTTACATAACGTAGGGCCTTAAATTCTTTATTTTTTTTTAAAATTTTTTTGCTTCTTTTTGGAGACAGTCTTGCTCTGTTGCCCAGGCTGGAGTGCAGTGGCACAATCTCTGCTCACTGCAACATTTGCCTCCTGGGTTCAAGCAATTCTCCTGCCTCAGCCTCCCAAGTAGCTGGGATTACAGGCATGCACCGCCATACCCAGCTAATTTTTTGTATTTTTAGTACAGATGGGGGTTCGCTATGTTGGCCAGGCTGTTCTCGAACTCCTGACCTCAGTTGATCTACCCGCCTTGGCCTTCCAAGTTGCTGGTATTGCAGGAGTGAGCCACTGCATCCTGCCAGGCCTTAGTTTCTTTATGCTAACGCTTTCTTATTTTTCCTTTTAGCTTAAGGTTTTCTGTGCTTGATTTTAAAATAAGGAATGTGTATTAGACCATTCTTCTGTTCCTATAAAGGAGTACCTAAGACTGAATAATTTGTAAAGACAAGAGGTTTAATTGGCTCACTGTTCTGCAGACTGTACAGGAAGCATGGGCGTGCAACTGCTGGGTTTCTAGGGAGGCCTCAAGGAACTTTTACTCATGGCAGAAGGTGAAGCAGGAGCAGGCACATCACATGGCAAAGGCAGGATCAAGAAAGAGAGGAAGAGTTGGGGTGGGGAAGGTGCCACACTTTACAACAACCACGTCTCATGAGAATTCGGATGGTGCTAAACCATGCATGAGCAGTCTGCCCCCATGATCCAGTCACCTCTCACCAGGCCCCACCTCCAACACTGGGGATTACAATTCAACATGAGATTTAGAGGGGACACATATCCAAACTATATCAGACTCCTCATAAAAATTCACTTTATACTGAAGCATACAGAATATAAAGTGACATCCTACTCCTTGCTCACACTTCTTTTCCCAGAGGAAGCCACCAATGCCTTTTTGTATGTCCATTCAGACCTTTCCTGTATTATTTACAAGCATCTACATGCACATACTTTTTTTTAAATTTAAATAAGATCATATGCATACATTGTTCAATCACCAGCTTTTTTCTCACCCTTAGATATCATAGACACTTACCCACTTCAGTGTATTTCCCTTCATTCATATTAATGATGTAATAGTATTCCATGCAATAGATGGACTATGATTTATGTAACCAGTCTATAATTATTGGACATAGAGGTGGCACCCTAACCCTTTTTTTCTACCTTTACTCTCTGCTAGTTTATCCCAAGGAACATAGAAAGGATTTTGCTCCCCCTTTGTGTTTTGGGATATAAATTTCTGCTGTGTTCATTGTGGGCATTCTTTCCTGTTAGTAAGACCACATCTGCTTCATTTTCATAATTATATTACATCCCCTACAATAACTAGCATATGCCTCATACCTAATATTTTATAACTACTTTTACGTTTTCCAAGGGGTAGGCTCCAAGTAAACATGCAGACAAGGGTTATACTCTAGGGTTCCTATCAGTGAGAAACTGAATGTGAGGCATAAAGCGATACCTGTTACCATCTCCTGTTATATATTTAATGCACAGAAATGAGTCTTTAACTCCTGTGTAGGTAGACATAGTAAACCATTTTATAGAGGAAGGTGGACTAATCCTTTTGATGTCTTGAATTCTAGCTGCAGCGGGAGCCCCTAACCCCTGAGGAAGTACAGTCTGTTCGAGAATACCTTGGTCATGAAAGTGATCATCTGCTGTTTGTTCAGATCACAGGCAAAAAACCAAACTTTGAAGTGGGTTCTTCTAGTCAGCTTAAGCTTTCCATCACCAAGAAGTCTTCTCCTTCAGGTAAGGCTGGCCTAGGGACATTCTTCTGTTTGAATGGGCTTAGAGGGACATGTTAGAAATTGAGCCAGCAATAAATGAAATGGTGATATTTTTAGAGGATTAGTCCTTTGATTTCTGCCATTTCCACTATAGAAGAATACTTAATGTACTATTATCATGGGCATATTAGGATCCCAAGCTGAAATAATGCATAGGTATTATCTAGTTCAGCTCCTTCTTCTGCACCAGAAGATACTGAGGCCTCCTAATTCTACAGGACTGAGTCACACAGTTTAATTAATGAAGTCCTTCCAGGTCCCAGAATTAACGTTTATCCTCAGAAGACCTCACAGTGTAGTGGTAATGGCAGATGAGAGTGCCCTGTTCCTGTTCTCATGTGCTTTTTTCCCCTATGCCAGAAAAACCAGCTGTTCTTACTTTGAGGATGCTAAGACACTTACAAAACTGTATTTCTTCTGCCTAGAAAATTGTGTACAAGCACACACGCGCACACACGTGCACACACGTGCACACACACACTGCCCCATGCTCATCCTTCCTATCACTATTTTTAAATGCCTGAATTGACCCAGCTGTGAGGTATGCACACATTTACAGATATTTACTGGTACATCCCCACTTGTACGGTTTTGACCATCTAACCTAAATCTTCGACAAATCCTTTGGAATCTAACCTTTCGACTCATGGTTCCAGAATGAGTAGGAATAGCTTAGAAGAACAGTTGGCCCTGTGGTAGGTGTGAGCATCCAGTTGTGACAACGATCACTGGAGGATACTCTTACCCCAAGGGCCTGTGAGGATTTGCGCACACTGCATCTGAGCCTCAGCTCTTGGGCTGTTCCTTGCATTCTCCTGACTAGACAGAGAACTGGGAGGTGTGAGGTTTGTCTGCCACTGATGGTGTTACCTTGCCACCAGCAGCTCTAGAGCCTATTTTCTTGTATGTAGCAGGTTTACATGAGGCTATAAAGCTCTGCTATTTTTAAAGGTTTTGACACATTTCTCGTTTAATCCTCAAAACACCTGCAGTAACATAGGTAGTACGATTTAGCTTCATGTTATAGGATGGAAACTAAGGTATCAAGGAGGAAGCAATATGGAATGGAGGTTAAAAGCATCAGACAGACTTTGCAGCCTGTGGAACCAGCCTAAGTGTCTAAACCTGTTTCCTTAGCAGTAAAACTAGGATGACAGTTACCTCATAAGGTTGTCAGCAGAATTAAGTTAGATAATGTATATAAAGTGCTTAATATGGTGCCTGGTACAAAGCAAGTGCTTAGCAAATGGTGACTGCTGTAACTACCAGAAAGTGGTCGGCCCAAGGTCAGACCTCTTAGAGGAGTAGGGCTGGACTTTGAACCCACATCTTCTGCTTCCCAGGCCAGTGTGTTCTTTTCTACACAGCAGAAAGCATTTAGGTATGTTTGTAATTAATAGTTTCTGACTGTTTTTATGGAGTTTTTTTCTTTTATTGCTTGGACTCAGTGAAGCCTGCTGTGGACCCTGCTGCTGCCAAGCTGTGGACCCTCTCAGCCAACGATATGGAGGACGACAGCATGGTGAGCTGGCAACACGGTCACTTGATGGCTTTCTTTTAGGCCCCGGTTTGGGTGTGAACAGCTATAGTGACCTTTCTGGACTTGTAGGTGTGAATGTATTTAAAGCCCAGATTTATGACTATGCCTGTCACTTATATCTTTGATTTAGAAGGAAACTCCATGTTGGTGGCTCTTTTTTTTTGGAGGCAGAGTCTCGCTCTCTTGCCCAGGCTGGAGTGCAATGGCACGATCTCGGCTTACTGCAGTCTCTACTCCTGGGTTCAAGTGATTCTTGTGCTTCAGCCTCCCAAGTAGCTATGATTACAGGCACGTGCCACCATACCTGGCTAATTTTTGTATTTTTAGTAGAGACGGGGTTTCACCATGTTGGCCAGACTGGTCTCAAAACTCCTGACCTCAAGCGATCTGCCCACCTTGGCCTCCCAAAGTGTTGGGATTACAGGCGTGAGCCACTGCACTCAGCTGTGTTGGTGGCATTTTAAATTTTTTAGCATTTCTTTTTCCCCACATAATTTCTTGTTCTCACTTCATATGATATGTTGAAAACTCTTGTGGGCATGTGTAAACCTGAAAAGATTTTGTCAGCTTAAATAGTTTTATTGGCACCTTTGTTTGGGCAAGTTGCTGAACGTTCCATGCTTTAAAAAGCCCTGTTTTCCATCTTTGATTGGCCCTGCCTGTAATAAAATTCTTCATTTCTACACCTCTACTATTGGAGTTAGAGTAGTGAGCAAAATAAGTCAGGTTCATGCTCTCATAGGGTTTACAGACTAAGTGTCTACATATTTACAAAGAATTACATAAAGGTATATATAACTATTTGATGTTTCTCTGGGATTATGTAGAAGATATTTTACTCCCTTTTTCACATGACACTTCATAAACACTTCTGTCCCTCTCTGTTCTGCCTGTTCCCTCCCTTCTCCTCATTCCTGCCCCTAACCCCCAACATGTGTATATTCTCTACATAATGCTGGCCAGTCTTACAGCTTTTTCTCATGTAAATTTGTTTCTAATTCCTTCGCATCCTAGTGCATCTTCTGTGGATGTAGTTTAACTCACTGTTGGCCTCTTGAGCATGTGGTCAGGTTGAACATGATGATCAACCAAAAGTAGGACGGGGTGGACACCTTCTTTAGCCTGGACTCCAAGTTTCCTCTTAAAGCCTGTGGTCACCTTAGCTTTTCATTAGCAGAGACCACGACTGTGTCACTCATTGCTTTGAACACTCTCCAGGATCTCATTGACTCAGATGAGCTGCTGGATCCAGAAGACTTGAAGAAGCCAGATCCGGCTTCCCTGCGGGCTGCTTCTTGTGGAGAAGGGAAAAAGAGGAAGGCCTGTAAGAACTGGTGAGTGCTGCGGTGACTGGAGCCTGCCATGCTGCATGCAGTGGCTTTGTGCTCAAGTCATCACAGTGCTGTACTATTTTTAAAACATACATTTTCCAGCCTGGGCAATACAGGGAGACCATCTCTGCAAATAATTAAAAAAAAAAAAAAAAATTAGCCAGGCATGGTGGTATGTGCCTGTGGTCCCAGCTACTTGGGAGGCAAAGGCAGGAGGATCACTTGAGCCTGGGATGTCGAGGCTGCAGTGAGCCGTAATTGTGCCATGCATCTAATTTCACTCTCCCTCAAAACTCTACCAGTGAGCCACGATTGTGCCACTGCACTCCAGCCTGGGCATCAGAGTGAGACCTTGGTGTCTTCACATTTGTTTTTATAAATGGATGGGAAGGATTGTAGAAAGTTAATCAGTGGTATTCAGGTTTGTTTAATCATCAGTGTTTTTTAAATGTAAAAGCTGCCAGCATTTACAAATCAGGAAATTACAAGTGAAAACAGATTTTTTTCCCCTTCTGTTCTTGAATTTGGAAAATATGGCAAACTGGGTCCACTTTCCCCAGCATGATTACCAGCTGAAGCTGAATAGTGGCTGCCCTCTGTAAACAGAGTACACACACTCTACTTCCCTCATCCTCCTCCCACTCCTGTCTCCCTCAGCAGCCTCTCACATTGCTGCTGTCTGCCTGGCTCATAGGCTTCTGAGTTATGACACTGGTGTGAAGAGAAAAGGCTTAAAGCACATTTTGGCACTGTTAGGATTTGGGATTTCTGGGTGGTGACAATTCTCGTTCATTAATTACTGATTTTCCCACAGCACCTGTGGCCTTGCTGAAGAACTGGAAAAAGAGAAGTCGAGGGAACAGATGAGCTCCCAACCTAAGTCGGCTTGTGGAAACGTAAATATCAGGATCATTCCTTGGCATTCACACACCCCCAGGGGGATTAGGCCTCCTTCTAAACCAAGCACATACAAGCTCCACCTCAAATATTTTAGTAACAGACGAATGCATGAGCACACGAACATAGGTAGTAATGGGGAGAGAGGCTTTCTCCTGAGAGTGAGAGTGGGTTAGCATGCTTGTGCTGGTCGGGGAGGGTCTTGTTGTTTTTTTTTTATTTTTGGCCCATTTCTTTGTACTTCAGAGTGGGACCTAATGGTTAGACATTTAGCTGAAGTTGGTTGTGTTTTGAACTGCATAGAATATAGAACTATGGCTGGGTGCGGTGGCTCACGCCTGTAATCCCAGCACTTTGGGAGGCCGAGGCGGACGGATCACAAGGTCAGGAGATCGAGACCATCCTGGCTAACACAGTGAAACCCCGTCTCTACTAAAAATCCAAAAAAATTAGCCGGGCATGGTGGCAGGTGACTGTAGTCCCAGCTACTCAGGAGGCTGAGGCAGGAGAATGGCAGAAACCCAGGAAGTGGAGCTTGCAGTAAGCCAAGATCGCGCCACTGCACTCCAGCCTGGGCTATGGAGTGAGACTCTGTCTCAAAAAAACAAAAGAACTATGGCCTCCTAGGGAACTTTTCTTGACTGTAGTTTTTCACGAAACCAGAAATCTTGAAAACTCTTAATATTTGGGACTCAATTGGACCTGCAAACATACTCAGAGTGTACTTCCTTCAGGCCACTGTGACCACATGAAATTAGGAATTTCTTTCTTCTGGCTGGTATGCCTGGGATAAGCTGACCCTTGGCTTCCCCATTTTCTCTCTCCAGTGCTACCTGGGTGATGCCTTCCGCTGTGCCAGCTGCCCCTACCTTGGGATGCCAGCCTTCAAACCTGGGGAAAAGGTGCTTCTGAGTGATAGCAATCTTCATGATGCCTAGGAGGGACCTGACATGGGACCCATCTGCTCCTCCAGCCAACTCCTGTCCCTCACATCCCACCACGGTGGCTCCTCCCACCTCCTCTGGATTTGTTCACTCTGAGATCCATTTGCAGAGTGGGTGCTTAGCAGACAGAGTGAAGCTGGCTGGGGGGCGCAGTGGTGTGTAGTGCTGCTGTGTATCAAAAGACCAAGGTATTATGGGGCCCGGTTACTCAGAATGGGATGGGTTTCTTCACCTCATGTTAAGAGAAGGGAGTGTATCCTGAAGAAGCCCTTCTTCTGATGTTAAAATGCTGACCAGAACACTCTTGAGCCCAGGCATCCTGGAGCATTAACACTCTGTGACAGAGCTCCAGACCCCTGCCCCGAGTCTCATCTCAGCAATGCTGCCACCTGCTTGTCTTTCAGAGTTGTTAGTTTACTCCATTCTTTGTGACATGAGTTAAGTGTCTCACAACCTCCTCAGGGCACCAGAGGACTCACTCACTGGTTGCTGTGATGATATCCAGTGTCCCTCTGCCCCCTTCCACCTCCAACCACATTTTACTGTAGCATTGCATCTGTGTCCTGTTGTCATTTCTGTTAACCTTCAGGTATTAAACTTGCTGCATATCTTGAGATATCTTGAGATTCTGCATGTCTTGTAAAGAGAAGGGATGTGCATTTGTGTGTGATGTTGGATAGTCATCCATGCTTAGTTTGGACCATTGGAGGAACTTAGTGTCATACAAATGGGGCTAGTCCTATGCTTAGAATAAGGCCTGTCTGCCCACTCTAGAAGAGCCCAGGTTGGTGAGCATTTAGAGGGAAGCAGGGCAGAACTCTGAACAACAATAAGTCTCTCTGAGCAGAGACCCCTTTGTTCTTGTTACCCACCCATACGGACTTGGGATCAATCTTGCCAAATATTTGGAGAGATTGTGTGGATTTAAGAGACCTGGATTTTTATATTTTATCGGTAAATAAAAGTGTTCATTGGTATCTGTCCTTGAAACTTGATTGGATTCTCCAAGTTTGCTTTTGCTTATGCTAGTCCCTGCTGGTGGATTTTAGTTGTTGGTGTGGCTAATTGAAGTTTGGCTCCAAAGACCCTTTTATACGCAGGTCTAAGATGACCCCTAGTGACTCATGCCCTTGTATAATAACCTCCCCTTGAGTTTCAGCAGGACCTGTGAATGTGATGGGATAATCCGTACTGCGATTAGGTTACATTCTGTGGCAAAAGTGAAGGGATTTTGCAGATGTAATTAAAGTCCCTAATGGACTTTAAGTTAATTAAAAGGGAGATTATCCTGAGGGGGCCTACCCAATCAGTTGATCCTTTAGAAGAACTAGAGAAGAGTTTCTTTTGCTAGCCATGAAGAAATAAGTTGCTGTATTAGTCTACTCTCATACTACTATAAAGAACTGTCCTTGACTGGGTAATTTATAAAGGGAAGAGGTTTAATTGACTCAACAGTTCTGCATGTCTGGAGAGGCCTCAGGGAACTTACAATCATGGCGGAAGGCGAAGGGGAAGCAAGACACCTTCTTCACAAGGCGGCAGGAAGGAGATATGCCGAGCAAAGGGGGAAGAGTCCCTTATAAAACCATCAGATCTTGTGAGAACTCACTATCATGAAAACAGCATGGGGGAAACCGCCCTCATGATTCAGTGACCTCCACCCCTCTCCCTTGACACATGGGGATTATGGGGATTTCAATTCAAGATGAGATTTGGGTGGGGACACGAAGCCTCACCATATCAAGCAGTGAGAGGGCCACGGAACTGTGAGTGCAGGCTCCTCACACGTTGGCAGACAGTTGAGAAAAAGGGGACCTTAGTCCACAGCTGCAAAGAACTGCATTCTGCCAACAACCACGTTAGCTTGGAGAGGACCCCAAGTTCCAGATGAGAATGCAGTCTAGTCAGTACCTTGTAAGATCCTGAGTAGAGGCCCCAGTCTTCTGTGCCAGGACTCCTGGCACACAGAACTTGTGATAAGAAATGGGTGTTAAAAGCAGCTAAATGTGAGGTCGTTGATTACACAGCAATAGGAAACTAATTCAGCCCCAGAATGGTTTGACAGTAACATTATTATTATTATTTGTTGTTGTTGTGGTTGTTTTGAGACTGAGTCTTGCTCTGTCACCCAGGCTGGAGTGCAGTAGCGTGATCTTGGCTCACTGCAACCTCTGCCTCCCAGGTTCAAGTGATTCTCCTGTCTCAGCTTCCCGAGTAGCTGGGACTATAGGCGTGCACCATCACGCCCAGCTAATTTTTTGTATTTTTAATAGAGACGGGGTTTTACCATGTTAGCCAGGCTAGTCTCAAACTCCTGACCTCGTGATTTGCCTGCCTCGGCCTCCCAAAGTGCTGGGGTTAACAGGCATGAGCCACCACGCCTGGCCCGATAGTAACATAATTATTAAGCTGCAGGGCCACTGTTAGTTGCTTCTGCTGCACTTGCCCAGATGAAGGACAAAAATCTCACCCTCCAGGTTGAGGACAAGAGATCCTGAGCCAGAGCTTCCTGAACAGGCCTAGCAAATGCAACAAGCCCTCGCCGATTCTTGTTATGAGTCCCAGATGCTGCTGGCAAAAAGGACGCTGCCACCTCCTATCTGCTGCAGTTGGTGTAGTTAATGATTTCACGCTGGCAGTTGCCGTGTCACTCCACGGGGTCCGGGGCAAGCCAGCCAGCTCGGAGTTTGGGGCCCAGAGTGAGGAAAGAGTCCTTGCCAATCAGCAGAGCACACCTGGGCCAGGGGCTCAGCCACACCTGCACCTGCACCTGCACCCAGTGAGGCGACAGCCAGGCAGGCTAGAGGTTTCGGCCTTCAGCAAGCTCACAGTATTGGAGCCAACACGGGCTCTGATAATCACTGAATGCAACCTCATCTTACATCTGAGGAAAGGGTGAGACCAGGAGAGTAACCTGCTGCCATCATTCACCTAAGCACCTCTTAAAAGTACTGAGTCCTGGCTGGGTGCGGTGGCTCATGCCTGTAATCCCGGCACTTTGGGAGGCCGAGGCAGGCAGATCACGAGGTCAGGAGATCGAGACCATCCTGGCTAACACGGTGAAACCCCGTCTCTACTAAAAATACAAAACATTAGCCAGATGTGGTGGCGGGCGCCTGTAGTCCCAACTACTTGGGAGGCTGAGGCAGGAGAGTGGCATGAACCCGGGAGGCGGAGCTGGCAGTGAGCCGAGATCATGCCACTGTACTCCAGCCTGGGAGACAGAGACTCCGTCTCAAAAAAATAAACAAAAGTACTGAGGCCTGGCCTGGCATGGTGGCCCACACCTGTAATCCCAGCTCTTCGGGAGGCCAAGGCAGGTGGATCACCTGAGGTCAGGAGTTTGAGACCAGCCTGGCCAACATGGTGAAACGCCATCTCTACTAAAAATACAAAAATTAGCCAGGTGTGGTGGTACATGCCTGTAATCCCAGCTACTTGGGAGGCTGAGGCAGTTGAATCGCTTGAACCCGGGAGGTAGAGGTTGCGAGGTTGCAGTAAGGCAAGATGGCGCCATTGCATTCCAGCCTGGGTGATAAGAGTGAAACTCCATCTAAAAAAAAAAAAAGGACTGAGGCCCGATGTGGACTGAGGTGGGGCTAGGAGTGTAATCTTCTTTTTTTGTTTTCTAAGGTCTCTAGCTTAGAACTTAGCAGTGTACATTTGGGACTTCCTCCTGAAATCACTCAAAAGCAGTAAATGGAGGGGATAGCAGAGACAAACCATACCTTCCTTGGGGTTAGGAGGCAGCCAAAACAGAACCACAAAATACTTGGAAGGAGGTGAGAGCAGAGGCTTTGGAACCAGAGTGTGGACAGGAGAGAAGGGAGAGCAGTTGAGGGTGCAAACCTGCTCCAGGTAAAGAAACCCCTGAGCTGCAGAATGGGCCCCTGTTTGTAACAGTGGGGTCCAAGTGCACAGGCAGGCAGTGGAGCTGAAGGGAGAACCCCACAGTGGAGCCTGGCATGCTGGAAGCACCCTAGTCTCTGCACTGGAAAAGAGAGACTGTGAACAGCCCAGCTGCCTGTCCTCGTGGCAGGGAGAAGGCTAAACAGAAACCTTACCAAGTGTGGGTGAAAATGTGGCCAGGTGGGAACTCACTGTTGGTGAGGATACTTTGGGCAATGTCACCCTCATGTCACTTTGAACACTGGCTGCATATTAAAATCACCTGGATAGCTTCCAAAAATGAACCGAACCAAACCAAAACAAAACAAAAGCCTATTCCTGGGTTTCCTTTCCAAAACCCAATTCAGTCAGAATCCCTTGGAGTAGGGCCCAGGGCGTCAGCATTTTTGCAAAGCTCTCCCAGGTCATCGTAGAGTGCAGCCAGGATTGAGAACCACTGCCCTAGAGAAATTCTTTGGCCCATGCACCAGGAGACAATCTAAACAAGTATTCAAAGCAGCAGTACTTCTAAGAGACAATCCAAATGGCCATTAACAAGAGTGTGAATGAATGAGCTGTGTGTCCAAGCAGTGGAACACTGCACAGCAGTAATGAGCTATAGCTGTGCACTTCAACATGGAAGAATCACGAAGCAACAACAGCCACAAAAGCAAGTCACAGAAGTGTGTGTGTGTGTGTGTGTGAGAGAGAGAGAGAGAAATATTTCATTTACATAAAGTTCAAAAACATGCCAGATCCATCAGCCTGTCATTAAGGATATACACATACACATGTGCATATACATGATGTATACAAACGTGTGTGTGACAAAACTAATAAAGAAGCTCAAGGGGAATGATAAAATTCAGGACCACAGTTGGCTCCACAGGGAGATGGGAGAAAGAGGCAGGACTTCATAGTAGCAGGAAAGTTCTATTTCTTTGGCTGGACGGTGGGCATACAAGTGTTAATTTTTATTGGTTTGTATACCTGCCATATACATGATGGATTTGTATTTCTTTTTTTTTTTTTTTTTGTGACGGAGTCTCGCTCTGTCAACCAGGCTGAAGTGCAGTGGTGGAACCTCTGCCTCCCAGGTTCAAGTGATTCTCCTGCCTCAGCCTCCCAGGTAGCTGGAATTACAGGCGTGTGCCACCATGCTAAGCTGATTTTTGTATTTTTAGTAGAGACAGGGTTTCACCTTGTTGGCCGGGCTGGTCTCAAACTCCTGACCTTAGGTGATTCACTCGCCTCGGCCTTCCACAGTGCTGAGATTAGCAGGCGTGAGCCACTGTGCCCAACTGATGTATTTGTTATTTCTAAGAAACTTCATTGAAAAAAACCTGAAAACCCCTCACATAAAACCCTGGGTCTTAAGGAGAATACTGCTAGCCCAGGACAAAGTCCTGCATCTCCCCAACACGAACCTGAACCTCCGTGGAACACTTGACACTGTTATCTCATGCAAAAATTTTAAAGTAGAACTAGTAAGGCATCTATATAAAGCTGCCTCAGAATAATAATAACAGTGGGAGAAGGTTGCCACAGAGCAGGTGAATACTGTTTGTGACTAAATTTTTTGCTACAAGTTACACAAATGTATAAAATAGCTTTGTGCTGAGTAGGGGTGGGGATGGGGCAGCTTCAGGTGGCTCTTACTTCACCCCTCTGGGGAAAAGCAGGGACAGAAGCCCCCACTCAGCCCTTAGTGACTTCAGGTCTCACCTTCAGTGGTCACTCCTGGTGGTCAGCTGGTGGTCTGGTCATTGGTTACCCGTGGCCCACCATCCAGCATTGAGGCTTTCACCTCTGCAAAGCACTGTGATGATCTGGAGACTACATTTAGACTCAGCTAGGTTAGAATGCTCCCTCCTTTCCTTCCTTCTTTCCTCCCTTCTCCTCCCCTCCCCTCCCTTCCCCTCCCCTCCCCTCCCCTTCCCTTCCTTTTTGATTTTCCATAATTACTTAAACATTTTTTTCTCTTAAATCATGAAAGATTTCAAATACAGAGACTTTCCAGTAGACAACTAGCTTTTCTGTGTGTGATTCCGATCGCTCCTTTTTTCATACACAAGTTTTACAGCAGTGG